TGTGTGTGTGTGTGTGTGGGCATGCTGAACGTCTTGGCAGTTATTTGCCCTGAAACTTCTGCCAACATGTTGAATAGTTGGAAACAGACATTGTGAGCTGCAGCTTCATTTGCTCGGAACAGGTTATGTTGGAATTTAGTTTTTTGATTGGTGATCCTGGATTTTTGTGTGAATCTCACAACATATACTTCTCAGTATTAGTGCTCATGTTTGCCTTTATAGACAAAATATGAAAACTTCTGATCTGCATTTATATTTTTTTAAATGTGACATCTGCTCTGATCTTTGGAAAGTTTCTTCTCGCTCCAGTAAAATATTTATTTGTTATTAGGTGACTGATGCACCAATAAACATGTGTGCGAGTGTCCATCTGTCCCTCCACATGAACAATACTCATATAAAGACACTTGGTGCAGTAATATTTGAATCCCACCATAACAGATCTTTTTGTGTTTCTTCTTCACCTCCTTATGCCACTGTTTTCACGTCCCTACCTTCTCTCCTGTCAATCCTTCCTTCTGCTCCTCTAGATCCCTTCGGTCTGTGCAGATTTGATTAACACTGATTCCATTAACACGTTAACAAATTGTTACGACAGCAAGGTCAACAAGATAAAGCCTTATTAAATCAGTCTGTTTACTTTAAAATGATCTTTTAAAGGAATCCTACAAACTCTCTGTAAATATCTTATTCAAAGTACTTTTTGCATGTTTAAGGGACACTGCATGATTCTGCAGCGAAGGGAAACCCAGGCCACATATTTAAGAGGAAAATATGTGCAGGTTGCCTTCCCACCACTTCCCATCATCCCTCCTTCCCTCTTCCCTCCAGTTCAATGAAAAGGCCTCGCATGCGGCGTGCTTCCAGAACCTGGTGCAGGCCAACGTCCGCAACAAGATGATCCTGAAAGACGCCGTGCAGAACATCACCGCAAAGGGTATCACCAACTACAAAGGCGGCTTCGAGCTAGCCTTCGAGCAGCTGGCGCAGGTAAGGCGTCGGCGTGCCGGGGGGGATACTTCTGCAGCGTCTGTGTGTGACATAAGGGCGTGGGAGTGTGTGTGGTCTACATATGGGGGGGGGTAGTGATGGAGACATAGAGGACGTCAATCTGTTGGATTGACGTCCTTGAAATGTGCAGAAACAACATAAATACTTTCTCCGAAATCTACTTAACAGTCTGATGTTCATGTAATTTATAGTTTTAATTCAATTCTGACACACACACACACAGACACACTGACAACTGTAATGAAGAGTGAGTGTATGTTGACCTCTTCTGGTTGTTTTGGACATTGCAGTTTCTTGCCTCAGTGGCAGTTGGACCTGGATTCTTTTTTTTGCAGCCGCTCCTTCAGCCTCTTCCTGTAGTGAAAGATTGTGTTGTTTTTCACGTTAAGTAAAACATATTCATTCATTTTCCTTAGATGAATGTGTCAAGGGCGAACTGCAACAAGATCATCATGCTCTTCACTGACGGAGGAGAGGAACGGGCGGAGGAAATATTTCAGAAATACAATCCAAAGCAAGCGGTAGGACTTTAAACACACGTTGTCCACAGAGAGGAAGAGAAGGAGATTTCCTTTTCATTGTCATCAGTGTGTTTTTACACCTCACAGGTTCGAATCTTCACGTTTTCAGTCGGTCAACACAACTATGACAAAGGACCAATACAGTGGATGGCCTGTGCTAATAAAGGTATGAGGTGGCGTTAGAGCTACAGTAAAACACATTCACTTCATTCACAAATCCAATGTGTATTTATTTTTTTAAGTATATTTTGGTACTGTCATAAAAATGTTTATTATTACTATAATTTACTCGATTTATCATTTCCCAGTTCTTCAGAATCTCCATTATTCTGAGCACATGACAACAACAAACAACAATTTTATAAATCAAATAAATCACTAAAATTGCTTTTTTTATGACAAGCAAAAATAATACATTAACATTAAAAATAAAACACAGCAAATAGAAGAATATAACATGATTTTAAAGTAAATATCAAAGCAGGTGCTGCTCAGTGGGCCTACAAATGTTTTTTTTTTGTGTTTTTTTTAACTCTCTATCTCTATAGAATATCCCTTTAAATCCCCTGAGTTTGTTTTAGTCCGCCTGTATCGACAGGTTATTCTTCACAAAATGACCCAGTGTTTTCACAGTAAGATAATGCTACATTAACAAACTGCATAAATGGCCTCTTGATAAACACGATCTGACTTAAATGAACCTCGTGCTGTATTTTCATGCTGGATGTTAAAACAAACAGTTTTTTCTCTGCTCAGGTTATTACTATGAGATTCCCTCTATAGGAGCCATCAGGATTAACACACAGGTAAAACAAATACACTCTCTGCTTAAATGAACCATGTGCACGTGTGTGTGATGCCCTCTTGTGGTTGAGTGGCCGCTGTGCAGGGAACTAAAACTCCTGGGTCTTGTATTGTGCAGGAGTACCTGGATGTGTTGGGCAGACCCATGGTGAAGGCTTACAGGAAGGCCAGGCAGGTTCAGTGGACCAATGTGTACCTGGACGCGCTGGTACGTCACATGTGTTACAACAGATACACAGAGAATTTGCAAAAGAAATTTAAGAATCTGTTTCCTGGATCTGTTCTCTGTCAGATGAAGGACTTCAGATAAGTCTCGTTCTGTTATTTGCCATTTGCCATCCTGGTAAACTCGACTTCAACTCTGAACCCGTTGTGTTTTGCGAAAGCACTGATTAACTTTCCCCGAAAAGCTTCTGTCAAGATTTCCTTTTTTAAGAGGACTGCATAGATAAGGAAGCATTTGGGCGAACGGAGCCAAGCAGTTGTTGTCATCAGTTTACTGATAAGACGCTGTCAACTTTTGGGACCGTGTCCACCTCGTCAGCACCAGAAACATCTCTGCCTTCTGTTAAAGAAAATATCTTATTTCCAAGTTGGAGCTGGTTTGGTTTTCCAATGAACCAGTGACACTTGAAGGATCTGTGGTTCACACAGTTTTATTTTTATCATGGAGTATTCTGTGGATTTATGCCATGAGAAATTCATCTGTATTTATATTATGTTGTATGTTCGATCCTGCAGGAGCTTGGCCTGGTGATCACTGGAACTCTGCCTGTCTTCAACAAGACCGACACAGGCTCTAAGGTATTTAACAACCACCTTAATCTAATTGTTTTTATTTTATTCTTTGTTTTAATAATGTTTCTTATTTTCTTTTATGTATTTTAACCTTTACTGATGAAAGGTAATGTCTTCATCCCTGTTTAGTTGGTTGGTTTGAAGTTTTTTTCTATTTTTACCGTGTATAAGCAAGATTACGTAAAACCTGGTGGAAGGATACAACATGGGTCAGGGAAGAACTCAGATCTATAGCAGGGGGATGGATCCAGGAATTCTTTTTTCACATTTTCACCAATTTTTCAGGAGATAATTCACGGATGACTGATATCTACGGGTGTGGTTTGATTGAATTTAAGGGAACTGTTGGTGGAGGTATGAGCTCTACTGTTACTGTAGATTTACTGACTACATGTCCTGCCTTACACTTTGACCCCATGGGGCACGTGAAGTCTGCCTGACACGCAATATTGTTCTCAATTATCGTCTCATCCTCCGCTTTCATCCGCTGCTTTCTTGTGGCTCGTCCTTTCTATCCTCTGTCGGTCTCCCACATGCCTCCGCAGGAAGAGAATCTAGGGTGTCATAAAGCAGAAATAAAAATGAGATCAAACCTTCAGATCAGAGACGCGAATGATCCGGTAGCTAAGTGCTTCAAGATGAGTTCAGATACTACTAGTCTACTACCTCTGAAGAGCGCAGGGTTTTTTTTTCTTTACCTCCACTACGGTTGAAAACAAGGCTGGAAATGCCTCGTCAGTGAGTCACGGCGGCTCCTAAGGCTTTTGGCAATGAGACTGACCAGATTTCTATTGCACTCCCATTTCCTTGAAATTGTTCAGAATGCACCGAGGGACTTGATTCATACAGAAAGAACAACAGGACTCATGCGTGGGTTTGACAATGACTTTCTTTCTCTCTCTATCGCATGGTGTCTTCTCAGAAGGCCCCACAGAACCAGCTCATCCTGGGGGTTATGGCTATCGATGTCTCGCTGGAAGACATCAAGAGACTCACGCCTCGGTTCACGGTAAGAGCAGACACTGCAGGAACCTGCCTGTTCAGAGCTCACATGGCTTCTTCCGTCCTTTCACCACTATCGTTCTTTCTCTCCATTTCCCTTTTCCTGTAGTTTGGACCGAATGGTTACTACTTTGCCATCGACCCCAACGGATACGTGCTGCTCCACCCTAATCTCCAGCCGCCGGTAGGACACATCCCTCAAGCATAAGGACAATCAGACGTTGCGTTTTTAACTTTACGGTTATTGGATGCTCTGAATATTAGAACAAGATCATTAATTTAGTGAAAGCCGTTTGGTGCAGATTAAAGGAGACATATTCTGCTCATATTCAGGTTCATATCTTTCATTTGTTGTTACTTGAAAAGGTTTACACGCTCTAATGTTCAGAAAACACATCACGCTGCTCAGACTGTCGATTGCTGCAGCTCCTCTTTTCAGCCTCTGCCTGAAACACTGGGTTTCTGCTCTGATTGGCCAGCTGACCCACTCTGTTGTGATTGGTCAGCCTGCTTCCTACACATGTAGGAAGTGTCGCCCTCTGCTCTCGCTTTAGAATCAGGTTTTTATTGCCAAGCAGGTTTATACAAGGAATTCGATGTGGTGTATTTGCGCAAGTGTAAATATAACAAGATCCAAAAATAGGAAACCAAAATTAAATATAAAAATAAATTTTAACCTGCTTCGTCAGGCTCGCCGCTAGGTACGCAGTATTTAAATGCGGGGCATTGTGACATCACATTAGGGTGGAAATATGGGTATTTAAAAAGTACTGACGAGGCGTTCAGGAGCACTGTTTTCTGTGGGGGAGAGGAGCTCTGCATCGTATGTCTCCTGCAACGCTGATGTCTCTTGCAGTAAATTGAGGTTTTAACATCCCGCTCAGATTCACTATCTTTGTTATCAGCAGCAGGACATTTTATCTTTACGTTGCTTGTTGCTTTGCCGTAGCTACAGATTTAATGTCTGCCTGAGTGAATTCACTGAGTTCGGTGAACATTTTGCTGCCGGTTGTTTTCGTCTCTTTTATAAAGAGCTCCATCATATGTAGCAATATGTTTTCCATTGACCTCACACGCTTTGGTTTCACATGATTACAACATGCAAAAGTCAGAAGAAACATTTTGATCCACATCCTGTTCCCTGGCGGAGGTTGCAAAACCTCAAACACATCATTAACTGCGATTCATCATATAAAACATTATAGTTCCTAACTCATTATTGTTCTTCATGTTGTTTCCATGCAGACTGCCAAGTTTCATGAACCTGTCACGCTGGACTTCCTGGATGCAGAGATTGAGAACGAAATCAAAGTGGAGGTTTGGAAAATATTTAATTTTTTTTATTTGTGTTAGAATCAATGTCCCTATAGTTTCTCTTCATAAATTGTTTAATTTGTCATAATTGTTCAACAGATGCGGAAAAAAATGATCGACGGACAAAGAGGAGATTTCACGATAGCTACGCTGGTGAAATCCCAAGACGAGGTGATTTTACAAGGGTCATAAGTTCATCTGTGTAAAAATCTACATGTTTACTGATCGAAGTTTTTCCCTCACAGCGCTACGTCGACCAAGGCCAGAGGATGTACAGCTACACACCAGTGAAGGGAACAGATTACAGGTAAATATCATATTTTTAATATGTTTGGAGAAGTGGTGTTTTTGTATTTGGAAAGCATGACTTGTTGCTATGATACAAGGGGGGGGGGGGAGTTATGTGCCTGTGCTAGCAACAGCCAGTGGCCGCAGGCATCATATTTATTATATTTATTATTAAATGTTTTTAATCCGTCGTTACGTACGTCTGTCCCATTCTCGTGAGCGCAATATCTGAAGAACGCCTTGAGGGTACTTCTACAAATTTCATACAAACATTTACTTGGACTCAGCGATGAGCTGATTAGATTAATGTTGTCAAAGGTCATAGGTCAAGGTCACGGTGGCCGCACAAAAAACATTTTTTTTGCCTTGTGAAAGTAATTTCTCCGGAATGCCTCAAGGGAATCCTTTTAAATGTGGAACAAACATTTGCTTGAAACTGGATTTGATTTTGGTATCCAAAGGTCAAAGGTCAAGGTCACAGTGGCATTACCAAGAATGGTCATGTTTTCTTTGATGTGAATCAAATAATAAAAGATTATTACTCAACCTTGCCTCGACAGAAGTTTACAGTGATATTATATATATATGTAAAACATGTAAAGCTCTGTGCATTAAGTAAATTCTGTTAAGACATTTGTCTATATGAGATTTCTGTGTCTTTCTTGTGTCTCTCAGCCTGGCCCTGGTCCTTCCTGAGTACAGTATGCATTACATCAGGGCCACAATCGGTGACACAATCACACAGGCTAAATGTAAGTTCCACCTTAAATCAGTTCAAATCTCTTGTGACACTCAGTGTATTATTGTTTTAGTAATAATATTCTGCAGTGTTGGCGGTAAAGTGAAGTGTTAATGTTGTCCAGTGTCCGCTCTCTGTGTGAGGCTGAGAAATGCTCCGCTTATGGTTCCTATCCATCATTCACAGCAACCCCCCCTCACACACACACACACACACACACACACATATACATACACACCAACTTACAACATGCCCTCGCCCCTTGTGTCGCCACGGTGACACACACCCTCAGTTGTGGTGCCGTTCAAAGTTTTTGTCGCCAGACAGCGGGACGAATGGCTCCAGTGTCTCCTTTCACACATAGAGGACTCATCAATTCATTTAGAGCCAAGTGTGTGTCTGTGTGTGTGTGTGTGTGTGTGTGTCTACGTTTCTGCGTGTGTTCGTGCTCAGTTCTATTGAATGAATACATATTGGATCAGAGGCTCCAGATGTGTTGCGCTGTCATGTCTCTTTTGAGCTCTGTCTGTTCCCACTAGTAAAAGATGTCATTGTCATAGTGTTACTCAAAGGACAGTTTTATTGTGTGTGTCCGTGTGTGTGTGTGGTTAATATGGAGCCGTCCCTGGTTAGAGTCTGTCTTCCTTATGGTTTATATAGTTTACTTATAGTTTTCCACGTTTTGTATTAACTTAACATTCCATATCGTACGTTTCAAAGGCTAACGTCCCACCTTTTACTCAGCTGTCGACGGCTCGCTATTCCAGAACACTGTAGAAAATCAGTTGGCAGGGACTTCAAGCTTTTCTGACGGTGTAATCCATCAACGCCAACATTTCTTCACCTTTATTTTTCCTGGCGGAGTCTCATTATTTGCAGTTGTGAGCAGGGACAGGTTTAAGAAACGCTGTTTGTTGTTGCTCGGTGCTGCCTGCAGGGGCTTCATGCGCTTATTGTTTCACCGTAACGTTTAAAAAACGTCGCAGCATCCTCGAACACACCAACGGCAGGAGTCGATGATGAAATTTAGACGAAGTTTCAAATCGCTGCTTTCATACATACACACGAGGACGTTTCAAAATCTTTGTTGTTTTCTCGGTTAAGACGACTTTGTACTGATTTACATTATCTCCATGGAAACCTGCTCTCATCACAACCTTAACCCCCACAGTGTGTAACCACAACCGAAATATGATAAGCTAAGTCCCGTCCTCAGGTACACACCCACACATCTCACCCTAAATGACCTGAAACACCCTGTGCATCTTGCATCTCTCCTGTTTCTTTCCCAACTCCCTGTTTCCTCTCCTCCTCCCTCCTCAACTCCTGACCATCCCTGGTGTGTCGGACCCCCTGCAGCATTTTTGGGCAAGTATCCTCCTCTTGTGCTTTACCTCCTAACCCCCCGTCATTGTCCTCTAACTCTCAAACCACCTGCAGACGTTAGGTTGGACGTTACTTCACGTCTGACCTGCTTCATCAAACATGCTGTTACACACTCGCAAAACACAGAAGCATCTTTGTCTTTGTTTTCCACATTAATTAGCTTCTACTGACAATTCTGTTATCCTGAATCGAGCCGCTGTCTGCTCTTAGAAGCAGCGCTTCGCATGCGATGCCTGCCCACACAGCGCGTTGCAGACGGGGTGTGAATGTCTGCGTGTGCACGTATGTGTTTAACCCCCACCTGTTCAAATGGCCCTCAGATGTGGTTTTGGCACTGATCCCACTGCAGAGGGAAGAACTGAGGACAGGATGTTTGTGTTGTTTAAAAATGAAGCCATAAAGGAGAAAGCTGTGAGTCTGCACCCAGAATCTGAGTCCGAACTTTTTCTTTGTTTTATTTTTTCATTTATTTATTTACTTTGACTCACTTTGAGTTTTACAGGCTTGTTAAATAAAAGACAGGGTCCAGCTTAAGACACTAACCGTCATCTCCTCTGCCTGTTCTCCTGTGTGTTTGTCATCATCTTCATCTTGTTTGCTGGCATCAACTTCTCAATCTCCACATAACACAGTTAAGCTCTTGTGGTTTGTCTGAAACCGCAGCAATGACTCGTGTCTGTTTTCTACTTTTCCAGAGAGTGAATATAAATGTCAGTTTTAAAACATCCAATGCTCCGCTTCTCCATTTTCTTATTTGTCATGCATTTAAGCCACTCCGGGTTCTTGTCTTGCATGTTTCTATTTGTGAGATTGATTCCTGCTGGAACCCGTTCACAGTTTGGACGGATTTTTGGACGTAGCTGCATGTCTTAGATTTTTCCCTGACTCAGTCGTTCACAGAGGAAAAAAACTCCAAAAAGATCTGGCAGGATTGTCATCATCGGTGCAAAGAGGCACAGAAAATGCATGCAGCCGTCACTCCCTAAATCTCCCTGCTATCCATCATTACGAGATGCCGCGTTGGATTAATAAGTCGGGGGCCAAATATCAAAGCAAAACCACATGGGTGCAATTATTTCCCAATCATGGCCACCGAAGAGGACAAGGGGTAGCCCATGTCGTCATGAGAAATTCTGCTGTACTGTAAAATCAACTGTCGACACAATGTGCTTTGGAGAATGTCAAAGAAACGTCAAGGCTCTGAGCTGCGGTTAAACCCCGTCAGTTCATTCTGATGCCAAATACATCGCTGAATTACAAAAGGAATGCTAATACTAACGCTAAGAACACATCTACATCATCACGTTAAACACTTGTGACCACATCGTGAGCCACTTTTTCTGTTCTCCATCGACACTGTTTCCATTTCAATCCAAAGGTCTAAAAAAAACCTTTTGTTTGGAATGCAATATTTCTATTCTGGAGTCGCTCTGTGAATAAAATATTGTGTCACCTTTGACCCCTGTGGTTTTACCCTGTCCTTCTTTTTCCCCCCTCCCCTCTCTTTTCCCTCTCGTCTTTAACCTCCCCCGGGGGATGATTCTCTCGTTCGCTCCCTTTCTCTCTTCTGGGATTTTTTCCACTCCAGGGAAAAATGGCAAGTATTATTTTTTTTGCCTCCTTTACTTTCATCTCCCTCCTCTTGTTCTCGAGCCTTGTCGGTCCTTTACCCAGAATGCCTGGCCAAGCCTATTCTGGTCCTTACTTACTTTTACCTGATTACTGTCATAGAGTAATATTTCTGTTCAGTGTAGAAATCAGCTCAATGTAGCTTTGATTTGTCCATTTGATCAGTTTGGTGGTTTATAATTTTCCTGTTTTGCCTTTTTGGCTAAATATCGTAATCTCAGGACATAATGCATCAGGGTCAAGAATTCCTGAATCTATGGCTGCTGATATTTGTCAGCTCGTTTTAAGTTTGTTCTTTGTTCCTTGTTAAATATTCAAACTGCTGGAGCACAATCTCCTTTATGCAATCACTCTTTCAGCTTAATATGAAACTGGCGGATTCTGACCTCATAATATCTTGTTCCTTTCACCAGTTTCTGAGAGCCTGCTCGCAGACAAGTTTGACGAATATGGCTACACGTTCATCGCTCCGAGGTAAGTTGACATGTTTATTTGGATTATATTTCCTGAATGATTCATAAGAGATGTCATGACGCAGCACAGAGGTTCTTTTCTTTTTTTCCCCCGCAGGATGTACTGTAAGGATTTAAAGCCACCCGACAAGAACACAAACAACACGGAGTTCCTCATGGAGTTCAACAACTACATCGACACAAAGACTCCAAACAACCCCATGTGTGAGTATTGAAGAGCAGTTCTTCACCTAGAAAAACTCCTGCCGCCGTCAACTGGGACATTTTCATTGAGAATCAAAGCTTTTATACTGGATCTGCAGCGGTAAGACGTCGTTCTCACTACAGACTTCTATTTACATCTCAAAGGGCTGCTGAGCCTCCCGGTATTTGGTGTTGTATGTAGATGTGAATGAGTCTCAGCCATCTGGCTTAGTATTAAGGTGTGCACTGAACATTTAATGGAAGAGCGCCAAACCCAAACCTATTCCCAGAGGTCTCCCTTCCCAGTGAAATACAGGTCTGGCTGGATGGTTTGGTGTGCATGAGCAGGCAAAGCTTTGTAATGTGGAGCCCCCCGAGTTCGTGTTACCCATTTGACGCTAACTCTAAAAGTCTGACCATCACACGCCTCAGTGCACATGTGTGAGGTACGGCGGCTTAGATGTGACACGCGCGCTCACACACACACACACACACACACACACACACACACACACACACACACACACACACACTCACAATATTCACCAGCAATATTCCTTCCACACCCCGCCTACAGCCGCTCGACCTCATCCAATTACTGTGTGTTTGTGAGAAAGAACAGGACACGTCAAGCCAAGACGGCGAGCGGAGCAATAAAACACAAATCAGGCCGGTGGACCTTCTCCCAAACATCTGACCAACGCATTAACATCCTTGGCATTTCTTGCATAAACTCATAGATTTGCATCAGTCCCCATATTTTCGCCTACTAATACAATAGGTCCCCAGATATTTATAAAAGTCCCTTTATTGTGTCCCGTAGTATAATTTGATGGTTTGCATTTAAGGACTCACTTCAAACACGTCGACATGATCAGTCCAATAAAACTTTTCACCCAATTGAAATATTACTTTCACCGTTATTAGCTGCGAGTTTAATGGAGTCCACAGGGAGCACAGAGGGAGAGAGAGAGGAGTTTGGCCCCGGTGGACTATTGGCAGCTCGAGTCTCGTTACACGCTTTCCTTGGTTAAAGCCACTGCAGTGGCGAAGAAGTTGAAGTACATTAGGAATTCCTGGGCTGCGTTCAATAAAAGATCCCTAATGAAAACCACCGCACAAAGAGGGAAGGCAGGTTGGAGGTGTGGGGGTGCGGGATAAAGTGTTACACCAGCTGTTTTCTCTGATGTGTGTGGTGTGTCATAAATGTTGGAGGAGGTGGTGGAGGTGTATCGACGAGCCTCAACCTTAATGGACTGTAGCGGGTCGTCCGAGTGTTCAAAGAGGCAGGCACGGCCCAAAGAGAGGGCGAGCGGCTTTTATCGCCCGTTATGTTCGTCATGTGGTCGTGTCGGACGTCTCGGAATGTAATTTTGTTACACCTATATCAGCCCGGCGGCCTGCACCTCGGTGGCATCAAACACATTTGATTTATAGTTTTCTATTTCAATTCAAATTTCATTGCGAGGTATAATCTTTTACCTTCTTTCTAAAAACAGTCGCCTCTCGGTCAGATTTGATCTACTGTGTTATTGCAACTTTGCATTTGGACTTTGTAGCAGCATGAAAATGTTACTATATATAATTTAAAGCTTTTTGTTATCTAAAATTAACTAAATGTGATGTAAATGTTCAAATACTTTGTCTGATATCATATTGGTGACCTTACATTCGCTCTCTCCTTCTTATGCCTCCTTGCCAGCAACTAAACGCCTCCAGGGAATTTCTTCAAATTTAATTCAAATGTTCATTTGAACTCATGGATGAACTGATTTGAATTTTAGGGGTAAAATGTCAAGGTTTTAATTTTTTGTTAATTATTTCAAATTTGTTATAAACGTTTGCTGGGATTCACAGATGAACTGATATGATTTTGGTGGTCAACGGTCCAAGATCCAGGTCTCAGTGGCCTCGGCTAACTTCTGATATCTTATGATATGACATGATATCTCAAATCTGCCTTTAGGGGAAATTCCTCAAATGTCACTTGGACTTAAACATTAATTGATTTGATTTTTGTGGTGAAAGATTATGGTTACGTCATAAGGGTCTGGAAATAAAAACAAATGTAGACTGAAACCACACCAGTTTGCTGAAGGCATACAGCTAACCATTTATATAACATTTTCTGAAGCACCCCTTTCTGGAAAAGACCTTTAAGCTATAGTGTCTCCACAACAAACAACAGTTGACAGCATTATCCAACGGAGATGTCCCACTTTAAAATCTGATGTCTGACAGAACATTTCAACACTCCCTCAGCAATTTCTGAAACGTCGGCAGACACACAAATTGGGTCTCAAAGATAACATGCTTACTTTCCCTCTTGCCCCTTAGGCAATGTGGAGCTGGTGAACAGACTGCTCTTGGATGCGGGCATAACCTCAGATCTGATTAAGCTTTGGAAACAAAATGAGCAGCAGTAAGTGACGCGTCAGTGTTTTGCCAACTTTTAACCATCAGGGTTTTATGGTGATCCAGCAAAATTCAACTGAAATGCGGTTTGTTACTTGGTATTTGGTAACAAATGGAAAAAAAACGAGTACAGATGGTTCAAATATTTCAGCATCACCAGCAAATGTCATGCAGGTACAAAGCACATTTTTAACTGTATTTTTTGTGACTTCATCGTCTCTGCTTGTCAGGCTCGGTGTCTCGGCCAGATTTGTTGCCACTGATGGGGGAATCACGCGGGTCTACCCCAAAAGGTACGTGTCAACCTGATGAGAGAGGGCTGTTGATTTAGGAGCACTGAGAGGAGCAGACGGTATGTTTGGGATTATCTTATAAGGAACAATGGTGTGGTCTGCCAAGAAACCAGCAGCTAACACATGAAACGCCTTATTTTTTATAAGTAGTGGTAGAAAACCAGATCATTTAAGTTTTGAACATTCATCCCTCCATCAACTATAGGTTACAGGTTAAGAAAACCAACCAATAGGACCTTATCATTATGTCCCTAGCTACTTATTCCAACTCCTCCTGAGGGATCCCAAGGTTTTCCAGATGGGATTTATAATCCCTCCAGCATGTTCTGTCCCTGATCTGGTTTTCCTACCAGTGGAATCTGACCGCAATGGGCATCTCAATTAGATGATAACCGCCTCAACAATTTTTCTTTCACTGTGATGAAGCAGTGGTTCTCCAATAATTTCCCTTCAGATGTCCAAACGTCTCACACCAAAGGGTGGGCCCTAAAACCCAAAGCTTAAGATTATAGGTGTTGGTTGGAACGTAGCTTGACTGATCTTCTGCTTGCATCCTTCTTCTCCGTGACAGTTGGTATAATAATCTGCTATGAGTTACGAGCTAGAGTTGTTTGTTCTCCATTTTCTCAACATGTTATGACCCAGTTCGAAACAATTTTAGTTATATGATCAGTGTTAAGAAAGTGTGGCAGAAAAAAAGGTAACAAGTCTGTTTTTTAGATTTAGGAGACATTGCAGATGTCAAAGAAGCATTTGATAACGAAGATTTATTAACCTTGGGAGCAACAGAATGTGAAATTTGATATTTTGAAGTTGGAAGCTAGAAGTGAGGCCTGGACAAGCTGTTTATAAGAAATGTGTTGAGACACTTTAGCAGGATGAGCTTGAGAGACAGATATGAAAAGTGCATTGGACCAAAAACAGATCCTTGAAGTACTCCAGAGGGAAAACTGTGATAAAATGGGTTTGTTCCCATGTCCAAATGACCTGCAACACCAAAATGCTTAAAAAATGCTGCCAATAAAGTTTTGAGCAATGTCACAGACCAGTAACCACCAGGTTGTAAACTTGCCAGAGACTAAAACACATCTTTCAAGTTTGAATGAAAGAAATGGAAACATTTTAAAAGATTTAAGTGTGTGTGTGTGTGTGTGTGTGTG